ATTTAAAAAATTTTTTATTAAATTTGATAAAGTTTTTGTTGAGTTATTGTTGTTTAAAGTTTCAAAAAAATTTTCTAGAACCTTTGTGTAACATAACCTTCGGACGAGTTTCATATCTAGACTTTTACAATGGGAATCAATAATCGAAAATCGATTAATCGATTCTTCTAGTTGTTGGCCCGCAATTCTGGTTATAGCCTTTTTTTGAATAAATTAATTATTTATGGTAAATAGAACCTACAATATTATGTAAAATTGTATCCAAAGCGTTTTCACTTAATCGCTACGACTTCATTAGGAAAATCTTGCACGGTTTTTTTTTTCGAATTATCGAAGATATTCGATTTTAAAATCTAGTACATTTCGTAAAAAAAATTAAGGTTTCATAAATGTAATCTGCAATAGTGTTACTTTCAGCCTTTAAATTTGTAACATTTTTCGATTTTTGGAAGCCTTTCTAATTTTGGTATTTCGTAGCACTTTTGGCATTTTGTAACACGGTAACACTTATAACATTTAGTAGAATTTCGAATTTTGACAGACTTTCGGTTTCAGTAAATCCGAATTTTCGGCGCCGACTTAGACGATCTCTCACAATTATATTTTTTTGACCTAAAGAACACTAAATTAGTAATTAATTAATAAATCAAGGCTTCGGCCGAACGATTTAATAAAATTCATGACAATAAGCAGTAACGGTAATGCCTGAAATAAATTTTTTTACTTCTTGTATAGTAATTTCCTAATGAAGTTACTGTACATCGGAAAATATAAAAAGCGATTAAGCCACAGAAATACAACGTATCTATAGTTGATAGTAACTACAAATAAAGTTTAAAAGTCATTGTAATAATAGGTAAGCATTATATTCATTATTTAAATGAAGTTTGACCATATTACCGGTACTATTTGTAGTACATGTAGCTTATAATTTCCTAGATAAATTTGACATTTACTTTTTCTATTCAACTATAACAAAATTATTTGAGAAATTTTTTCATCTAAATTTTAATTAATAATTGAGACTATGAGTATTTCGAGAATACTATGAGTTACTTATAAATGATCTAGAACTAGCACTATTAAGGTTTTAAACATTGCTACATGTTCTTGTAATACAAGCCAATCAATCAGGTTTATGATATTGGTGTCGAGGCTATTTTAAATATAATTGTTGATAATAAACTTTAAGCTATATTTTTTTAACCTTAAACCTTATCCTAAAATGCACTTTTAGGGGGCTGAAGTCTCTTAAATAATCCGTGATATGCACGGATGACAATGAATTGATTTACAGTCGCGGCAATCGCAACTCCAGAAATTGTGATGGTAACTCAACAACAACAAAATGCTTCTCGCCGGCCTGAGTTAAGGTTTTAAGTCGCCTATGGTTTAGGCCGATTTGTTAAATCTAGTCATAAAGTACAACATATATAAAGGAGGCAATTTTGATAAAAATACTATGTTCTAATTCCTATTAAAAATAAAGTTTCCTAATTGTAGAGAGCTAACTTTACATATTAATTTCTAAAGTAAGCAATATTCGATTTCTGATTTGTTTATATTTACATTTCTTTATTGCATGTGATAATTTGACTTTCTTATCACCCTAACTAAAATTGTCAACGAGACTGTAATTTGCACAAATATTTCTATCTGATGTTATACAGAAAATCAATACTGGTTATACGTACTATATAGTAAAAATATGCAAGAACGTGGAATATTTATTATATATTCTTAAATACTGTAAAGTTTTAATTTTCTTAATAATACTTCATTAATATCCATATATGTATGTGAATATGCATTATATAGAAACACAGATAAAAAACAAACATACTAATTATGTACGAATTTTGCAGCAAATAAATATGCTGAAAAAAAAATCTTTTGCAAAAATTTACTGTGAACCTTAAATCACGATGAAAAGATAATTAACGCTATAAATGCTTTTTGAAAGTTTTTTTTTTTTTTAAGCATGTAAATTTCTATACGTACATTATATACATTATATACATTCAATATATACATTGTTAGTAATTAAAACTTTCATTCCTTTAAATTTTTTTTAATAGTCCTATTATCGAACAAATTGTATGAATTATGTCTAAAAAATCTAATGACTCAAAGACTAAAACCTATTTAGAATATTTTAATAATTCTGATCTTGCAACAAAGGATATAAATGAAGTAACCACACTATTATTAGACTCTCATAAAACTTTTAATGGAAGACAATTTATAAATGATGATGAATTAAAATATGTATTACCATCAGATAAAAAAGAGATTGAAAGATCGACTCTAGCGCATTTATTAAACAGGCATCGGTGGAAAGGAAATTTTAGTTCACCAATTAAAGAAAAGTTAGATATGTGTGGTGCTACTATACTTGACGTTGGGTAATTATAGTATAATTAACTTTTAATATTTAATTCATTACATAATATAATAGTTTTATATTTAAAAAAAAACTCTGATAATATTTAATTTTTTTTCTACCATAAGATGTGGTCCGGGTCTTCGGGTGATAGACATGGGATTAGAATATCCATATTCCTCAATTATAGGGCTTGATATTGATTCCTCTGCTTTTCCTCCAAGAGGTCAATATCCATCAAACGTTTGTTTTCTTACAAGCAATGCTACTCATGGTGTTCCATTTCCTCCAAATACTTTTGATTTTATTCATATGAGCATGATGTGGGGCGCATTTAATGAAACTCAATGGATTTCAATAATCAAGGATCTTGTTAGAGTTTTAAAACATGATGGTTGGATTGAATTTACTGAACCAGACGTGACTCCTAAAAATCCTGGAAAGATCCAACTATTAATTCATGAGTATTGTAAGCATTTAACATGGTAAATTATTAACGTTTTTATTGAAAAAAATCAACTATATCTTTTTTTTTTTTTTTAGCTCGTAAAGCATGTCGAGAGTTAAAGGGCGTTAATATTGCAATTTATGAAATGATACCAAAATATCTTAAGGCAATGGATGAGCTTGAAAACATAAATTGTATTACTATTGATTATCCAATAGGTGAATGGTATGGATGTTTTGGCAAATATGTGAGTAAATAGTAGTTTATAATCTTATTATACTGTATTATTAAATTCTTTTATTTATATCTGTATTATTTCATAGGCAGCGGAAAATATTAAACGTGTATATCAAAGTTTTGTTTTCCTTCCAAAATACATGGGAATATCTAATGAGGAATATATTGATCTTTTAAATGACTTTGTTAAAGAAGCAAATGAATATAAAAGTTATCATTTCGTTTGTAGATATTTTGCTAGAAAAAAGAGTTCAAATTATTAATTAAAATTATATTTAAGATAGATAATATATAATTGTTAAATGATATATTTATTTTGACTTACTTACGATTAGTTTTTTTTATTTCTTATGATTCATTCATTGTTTTTAGAATTATAGTTTAGCAAATTTTAATTTTTGCGAACTTAATTTATTAGATTTCTTAAATTTAGATGGTAGAAATTAAGTAATATTTAAAAGGTGACAAAATTATGATTACGGTAAGTATATATAATTATATATATGCTAGAAGAATAAAGATAAAATAAATTTTATTAATACTCTAGAAACTCCTGATAATAGGCTTTAAAAATAATTATAACTTATCTTTCGTGGTTACTGTAATTTTCTTTCTATTGAAAACAAGCGGTTTGGTCACCGGGACCAAACTAACCCTATATTAATCAACAGCTGGGCGACCTTATCAAAAGAGGTATATAGATAGTTCTAAAGCTTAGGCTGTATATACCAGTACGATCATGTTAATGTGGGGCCCTATATTTTTTCCTTCTTTAGAATTATTATACTGTAATCATATTTCCTTTTATATATTAGTACAATCACGGGCGGATTTGTTATCCGAAATACAATGCTAAATAATCCGACTCCGATCTTTTCGTGTAACATCTTTGTATAAGCTACTTAGCCTTATAAGAATTATAGAAAAAATAGAAGAAGCTGCAGTAGAAAGCATTAGAAAGCTTCAGGATGAAGCGAAAAATGTTCAAAACCTACTATAGAAAGCTAAAAGAATTTTGCTTCTATAAAAAAAGAAGATAAGTACTGAAGAAGGAAAGAGCTAGTATAAAGCTCAAAAAAAAAGATGATCAAAGATCTGTTAACATTAGTATAAAAGAAAAACAAGTATTCTCTTTGTGATACAAAGAAGCTTTACAGAGATTATATAGAATCTATAATATAAAAAAGTAAACATAGAAAAGGAAAGAAGAAATAATAGTTAAAGAAAATAAAAACAAACTAAAAGAGAAAAAGTAAGAAGTAAGAACTCAAATAAAAGAAAAAAGAAGTTATTACTTGTAGAAAGAAAAAAGAAATAAGAAGAAAAGAGATTAAATAGTTGCAATATTAGATAAAGTATAAAAAAATAATAATAATAAAGGAATTAAGTTAGTAGAATTTATTTTAAATTAGTTAGATAAAATTGTTCTAGCTCTAAAATTAGTATAACAGATTGTATCTGAGTACTTTAGTAATAGTTAAGTAATATCAAGATAGAAAATTAAGTAAATTAAAAAATTATATTATTAGCAAAATTTTAAAAATACTATATATTGTTAGTAATATTTTAAATTATTATTAATATTATTAATAATAATTACTAATAATATTGTTAAGTTGTTTCTATTTCTTTAAAGATAACAATTAACTAGAGTAACTAACACTAGTTAAAAATTATAAAAATAGCACTAAATCATCAAATATTCAGCATACTATTTAGCAAATATTCAGCAAACATTTATCAAACATTTGGCTACTAAATGTTATAATTACTGCTACTTAGCATTTGCTAATGCTAAGTAGTAGCAATTATAACATGCAGTAGTCAAATATTTGATAAATATTTGCTGAATATTTGCTGAATAGTATACTGAATATTTAATAATTTAGTACTGTTGTTGCATTTTTTAACTAGTATAATAATATTAAATACTTTGTATAATATCAAACAGTTACTGTATTTTGTTAAAGTTAATAAATTATTTTGTAAAATTTAACAAAGAAGATTTTTAATAATTTGTAATTATAAAAGAAGCAACAATTAAAGATATATAAAAATATTAATAAATATTTATTTTAAAATATTAGAAAAGTACTATATTTGTAAAAGAATATAAAAACTCAATATTAAAATCAAGGTTTATATATACTTATTATAAACTTTGCAAAAAATTAGAAATATAATAGGCTATATATATTATATAAACTATATATACTACAACTATCACTAATAAAATATATAATTTAACTAATTTATATATTATTATAGTATAGATTTTTAGTTATTATTATTATATTATTATTATTATTATTTAGTTATTATTCTTATCATTATATTATTTAGTATAGATATTTTAAAGTAAAAGAATTTATTATAAACATTTACTTCTATATAAAGTTTTTCAAGAAGTATTCATAGCAAAAAATATCCTTAAGTAACTTTATGTTCAAGAATATTATCTATATAATAATATAAATTATATTTGAAATTATTATATAACATCTGTAGAAATACAAGCTGTAGTCAGAAAATACTGTAATAAACTGTACTTAATTGTGCTAAATACTATGCCAAACAACTCTTTTTAATGATCATTAAAACCAAACTAACAGAACAACAAAAAAGTTATTTTTCTTGTGCTACTATCTAATAAAGCAATTTAAAGTATCTGACTATGTGAGAAATAAACTATAAAACTGTAATAAGTCAGAAGCAAAAACTGCAGCAAGTTAGTTTCAAGGTTGTACTAGGCTTTTTGCTATCTGATTTTGGTGAGGTGACTTTAAGTTTGCTTAGTAAAAAAGTGATGAAGGTAAAAAGAAGAAGTAAAGAAGGACTTCAACTATGCTTGTGCTAGGTCAAGTATACTACTACTCTCTTAGTTTTGTTTTTTTAAAGAACCATTCCCTATACTCTCAATAACTAGACTTTTGGACTTGAAATTGTTTCTGTTTGTTTCTTGACAACAAAAAATATGAATTTGGCTTACTCCTACTAAAAGATTAATATTTGTACTATATCTATTTTAGGAAAGTCATATTGAATACTACCAAATAATAACAACTTGTAAATATATATAGTATATATTCTATAGTCAACTTCTGTTAACTAGATACTACATAAAATTTGTGAAGGCCTTGCTTTGTTGGATTAGTACTAAGTAGACATATTGGAAATTATTAATCAAAGAGATATATATAGGTAGCAACTAGTATATATAATTTTTAAAGGTAGTGCTTGCTTTTAGGCTTGCTTTTAGGTAGAACTACTCTGAGTTTTTTTTCTTTTTTCTTTTTATATTAAAAAAAAAATTTCATTTCTTTTTCTTTTTTGTTTTTTTTATTTTGTTTTGTTTTCTTTTCTATCTACTTATTGCTAGTATAGTTTTTTACTT